TGATGATGAATCTATGCTGACATAATAATGCTCATATGCAGTGGTAATAGAATTTATAAATAATAAAATAGTGTGGTATAAAAGTTAGTAAATCAATATGGGTGTCGAATCACTAAAGCAGTCGTTATATCAATACTGTCAATCAATAAAGAAATTGTATAAAGCAGTGACACCAAAGCATCAATAAACATTATCAAAATTATATCAATGTAAGAGTGTATATATACTATCAAGGTATTTTATATAGATATAAAATAAATATCTTACAAGCTCAGTATCATTATAATGAATCAGTAGTATCAAGCATTTTTAGTGTCTATATCAGTAACAGTAATAGCTAAGTGGTAGGTGCAAGAAAATAATACAATAATAGTAAATTTATGCATTAATAATAAATACATAAAAAATTGGAACAATACTTCAATAAAATTCATTTCAATAGTTATACTAAACAAGTAAAAATTATGATTATCATGATATTTTTTATTAATCAATAATGGGCAGCCAACAACCATTGGCTCAATAAATAAAGCCATCACTTTTTATCCATCAGCATAGTAATCATATTCTTATAACTCTCAATCATAATCATAAAAATCAGAAGATGATAACACCAAACCATAACATTTAAAGAAAAACACATTAGCTTAACATCCTATATAGGCCAATCAATCTCCAATATATGAGTCAACTAGACTTATTTATCTTTTACACGCACATTATTATTTTAATATTATAACAAAAATAGCAAATAAATATTACTCAATCACATATTTACATCCATTTCAATGCATTGTAGTAACAAAACATAACCAGGCTCAATTTAGAAAGTGCCAAAATATCCTAACTGTAGGCAATATAAAATTATACTAAACAAAAAAATCATATTTTAAAAATTAGCCAAATTACTAATGATTGTATATAAAAATAATTTAAAGCTTTATTGAACTAAAATACTATTTTTAAATGTCAAAATAAATTTTTAAGTAGGTAAAAATTGTTGCTTTTTTAAAACCACATAGGAAAAATGTTAAATACATACTCAAAATATTCATAATCTAGATCTCTATAATATATAAAACACAATCTTATTGATCAAATCAAAAATTAGATATAGATTCTTTATAGTGAGATGAACAAATCTCCCAACAAGATTGACTGAAGGAAATTGGTCTGTAACCTATCAATCTTAATTTTCCTTTTCTCTCTCCTCTCTTTTCTCTCAAATTCTCTAATTCTCCACTTTGCTAGTTGATTTAGGGAAAAATTGCTTTAATGGAATAATATATTTATAATAATATATAAAATTAATATAACTATTTAATTTAATTAATTTTTTAATATAAAATTTATATAAATTCTTTGTTGGCTTTAAAATTATAAAAAATTTATAAAATAGCTTAGTTTATTTAAAAAATTTTAGTGAAATTAGTTTTCAAAACGGACACTTGATGGCCCTAAAATCTCCACTTATACTAACATGTGCTAATTTCTTAAGGATTTGCACTAGTGCCTAAAAATTTTGAAAAAAAATTATGTAACTAAAATTATAATATCAATGCTATGGCGAAGATGATTTATAATTTAGACTTATAATGACTCCATAAAAATTTATTTGCCTGGGTAAAAATATAGGCTATTACATATTCTGTAACCAAATAAATTTTGACTTTATGTATAACACCCATAGGATTTGCATGTAACATATCTTTATACACTCGTATAATATCACATATATAATTTTGATAGATGTGTAAATACATTCTCTAATAACTTTATATTATGTGTAGGATAAATTATTAATATTATAGATATTATGAATCCAAGAAGTTGGATATATAACCAATTGATGCAAGAATAAAAGTCATTAATAGATGAGTTCATTAATGAGGTAAATGTTTTCATCAAGATAGCTTGTCAACTACCTTGATTTATCTTGGATGGAAGATTTTATTATCCATGTTATAAACATAAAAATTAAGTGCACTTCACACCATATGAGATAATTATTGATCTATATCATAGAAGATTTATGTCAGAATATTGGTATTGGACTTGTCATGGTGAATACGAGCCACATTTTGACTCTTAATGCAGCATATCTATAAGTTCTAATATGGCTGAGGAAGAAAACATTCAAACTCTCATAGACTTAGTTTATAATACAAATGGGACACAATTTAAATAATATACAGAGAGTCACCAAATAACGAGGCACATATCTTCTATGATTTATTACATGCTGCTCAACAACTAATTTAAAAAGGATGTATTACTCACTCAGAGTTATTTATTACTGTGAAGATGTTAAGACTGTTGATAAAATATAATGTCCACGTGAATATTTCAATCAATTCATTGGATTACTTAAGAAGATCAACCCAATTAACAAATAACAGAATTCCTTTAGATTTATTCCTATATAAATAGATTATTATGTTAATATATACACATCATACTATAAAGATGATTTATCAGAGATTACATGTCGACATTATAATGCACCAAGATTTAAATCAAATCTGGGATGAATGAAAGTAGAAGGATACATCAGTTAGTAGGATATTTCACTTATCCATAATTTTTATACTACAATGTTTATATGCGTCCATGAGCTCTGCTACACATATGAGATGTAATAACAAACATCTCATAAATAGGTTTTATGACTCATTTGTCAGAAGCAGAGGCCTGAAAATAATTTGATTGTATATTGCCCTTATTTTTTTGCCAGATCTAATTTTAAAGCTCTTGATCGAGCCAAGTATATTTTTTAAGAATTTATGCTCCTCAAAACTTAATGCAGAGCACTTAATTCATATAGAGCATAATATTTCTTTTATTTTATATAAACTTGAGAAAATATTTCCTCTAGTATTTTTGACTTTATGGAGCATCTACATGTGCATTTATCACATAATGCTATAGTTGGTGGTCCAGTTCAGTATCTGTAGATGTATTCTTTTGAGAGGTATTTAAATAAACATAAAAAAATTGCTAAGAAAATAGCACATCCTAAAGGATCAATTTATGAAGTATATCTAATATACAAGATCGATAAGCCAATTTTGCTTGTATTACTTTGACCCAACATTACAATCAACAAGGAGTATTATACCTCAAAATATGGGTAATCCAGATTCATGTAAATCTTCAACTACATCTCTATTCAATGGATGCAGTGAGCCCCAGACATTAGCATTGTACACTATTTGACTGATAAGGAGATGAGAACTACCACGTTGTACGTCTTGCTAAACTGTGATGAAGTTGAGCCACATCTTGAGTAAGTATGAGTAACTTTTTATATATTTGCAACTCATAAATCATAACTACTTAAAATTTATAGGAGTTTCATTAATGGTTTGAGTACATTAATATCAGTAGAAGTTTAAAAGATAATTGAAATGGAATTTTCAAACTGGTTCAAAACTACGATATGTATTTCGACTACTTATTTATACTTATTTCTCTTAATGAATTAACATAATAAACATGCTAATGAAATACCTACATTTGATCAATTAATCAGGTTCACACTCAAGGCATGCAGTGATTTGCAGTATCAAGGACTACTAGATTTAGCCTTATGATCGAATATATAAGTAAAATATTGGCCAATTTTTTGTCAATAAAAATAAATTGGTCACCATTGTAGGTTAGCTCATAAATTGGTCACCCTCAATGGAACATTGAATAATGGATCAAAATCTAATCTTACTGATATTATTTGAGGTCATGGTGCTGTTGATTCATTTGATAGCTAGGATGTCATGGAGTCAATTTCCACAATATGTTTGGATAGATGCAGTGATAAGTGATAATGGTTAGACCTTAGGGCATGTTGAACAGCCCAACAAAAATAAAAGGGGCCTACTAGCCCCAATTGAGGTTGTGCTGCGTATGTTCTAGCCAATTTGAAGTGTTCATGGCTAAAATGTTCTTTGAATTTCATGCTTGTAGTGCCATTGAAATCTTAAAATGTGATAATCTCCTTTACTATAATTTATCTAATTTGCATTCAATTAATTTTTGAATTATTTAATTTTCTTATAACTTGTAAACTATAAAGTTTAACTTCATTGAAAAAAAAATAAAAAGAGTACACCAACAAGTAAAGGTTAAAATTGGGGATATAGATCCAAACTTCGATTTGTTAAACGGGGTAACCCAAATCTAAATTTTTCAAATCAGGTTGTCTGATTGAATCATTTATTGACAACTTTAATTTAGATTTTTGATCAAATTGATCCAACTCGATAATCAAATTGAGGAAATAGCGCCCAATTTCAAGCTTTTTCAAGCCAAATGTTAAATTTGAACACAAGTATTAAATTTATTTTTTATTGAGTGAGATCAAAGTAAAATATTCTTGTTAAAATTTGATCAAAAAAAATTTCGTGTCAAATCAAGTCGTTACAAACCATCATTTTGTTCTTGCAGGGGGTGCGTTATTTGAGTTAAACCGGTACTAATAGGTGTAAATACTTGCTAGGTGATCTCAAGTTATAGTTTTACGAACACAACATTATTTTTTTGAATATTTAGATCAAATAAGGCAAATTCACACAAACATCACATACATAAGACTCAAACCCAATTTATTTTTGTTGATAGTCTAAGCTCTCAATCAACAGACTAATGAGAGCTGCATAGGTATAGCATTATTATGATTTTCTTTTTGTTCTTTAATGTAGGCGCTGCTTGTCATATCTTACAACTAAGATCCCCCATGACCTTTAAGTTATCTTTCTCATGTGAAAATAATAATATATTATTAGATAAAGGCCACTAACTTGTCCTCTTATGACTCTTGGACCACCAATCCTGCATTTAGTGAAGGGCATGGCTCTTAGGTTCCTTCTTGAAAACTTTATAATTTCTTATTTCTTTGCTTGATACATGTACGCTATATCCACACCTACCTAATGACTAGCTCTTAATTATAAATGAACAAGCTAATCTCCATCCAATTCCATCACTCTTACTGAGAAGAAAGAAACAAATGGCTAACAGCTAAAATCCTATTCACCTCCTCTTCTCATCTCTCTCTTTTAGTTCCAACTAAAGGCCAAATGGGAGGAACTCCTCCCTGCGCTTCCTGCAAGCTGTTAAGAAGGCGCTGTGCTAAAGACTGCATCTTTGCTCCTTTCTTCCCTTCAGATGAGCCCCAAAAGTTTGCTATTGTTCACAAGGTCTTTGGAGCCAGCAATGTCAGTAAGATGCTTCAGGTCTCTCTCTCTCTCTCTCTCTCTCTCTCTCTCTCTCTCTCTGTGCTATTTTTCTTTCTTCTTCTGATTTTCTAGTAAAAGTTTCCCTTAGCATGCTTGTGACTGGGGATTATAGCTAAGCCAAGCTGATTCATGGGTTGACATGAGCTCATATCAAAGAACAGTTCAGGAGACAAACTTATCAGGCAAATTAGTCATTTTTAAGCTGGTTTCAACTAGACTTAACGGTTCACAAACCAGCTTATTTTAATAAAAAAAACTAATCTAATTTATATATATTATAATTAAATGGTTTTTGATCGAATTATAGAAAACTTCAGAAGCACAGTTCCTCTTATTCTTTATGTTATCTCTATAAAATTTTTCTTAGTTCTTCCACAGCAGCTCCTCAGATTGGTTTTGATATCTTGACTTTTAGAAATGAGATGAGCTGCTTGAGAGCAAATCAGGCTCTAATTAGAATTGTCTCGCCTATCTTCTATCTGTGAGAAGATTAATGAAACTGAACTTGAGACCATCCTGGAACATTTATTAAAATAGACTAAAGCGTATATATAAGTAGGACATTTTATTGGTAAAAAGAAGATTAGATGAAATAAATAGTCATATGATAGTATTACCTCTTTTCTCTCCCTGAGTGCCAATTCATGTTGATTTTTTTCTTAATCCTAAATTTAAACAAAAAAAAATTGTTTGACATTGACGGTCCATTTGATCAACAGTTTTTTTAGACTTTTGAGCAAATTAAAGACAAACTCATATACGCAAGTTTCAAATCCAAGAGCTCTTTATTAGTAACAAAAGCTCCAACTAATAGATCGAGATGAGCTGCAACAAATTGAGCTATTTTTTTATAGCTAATATAATTCTATTTGGCTATAACTTTCATTTTTTTTAATAATTTATGATGGAAAGAAATCTCTTACAATCAAAATCTCTAGAAAGGAGAGTTGTTCTTGGATTTTTTAAAAAGAAAAAAAAATCTATAATATTCATAATAAATTCTTTAAAAATCTATTTTTGCACAATAATTCTATAGCTATTTTTACAAATGACATTGTTGTCCCAAACGCACCTAAGAGAAAGAATAAGAAAGAATTTTAATCTCTGATCATTTTCATTTGATCCTCATCAAAACAGTTTCTTTTTTCAGGATCTCCCTTTCCAACAGAGAGCTGATGCTGTAAGCAGCCTTGTCTATGAAGCCAATGCAAGAATAAGAGATCCTGTATATGGCTGCGTTGGTGCAATCTCCCAGCTGCAAAACCAAGTTAAGCAACTTCAGATGCAGTTGGCCATGGCTCATGCTGAGATCTTATGCTTTCAGATGCAGAATGATTCTTCTTCCTTGGTAAATCCGCAGCTCGGAGTCGATGACGACAGTGATGACAATAAATCCTTCTTGCTGAACAATAACATGATCATGGCCAGTATTCCTCAATCCATGAATTTCTCTTCTTCCAGCAGTGTGTTTCCTGAGTCTCTCAAGAGAGAATCCCTTTGGATATAGCAAAGCACTTCAATAATTTACTGTGCTAATGAGGAAATATGGATGCAAATTTTGAGATACTCTAAATTCTGGTTTAAAAAGTTTTATAACTACTTTAGTTTTGAGTCATTTTTCTCGAAAGTCTTATAAAGATAGAGTGAAAATAAAAAGCAATAACATAGGCTTCGTTTGGTTAGGCTTTCTTACCACTTTTCAAAACAGCTTTCTACTGTTTTGAACAGCTTTCTACTGTTTTGAAAAGAGGTAAGAAGGTCATCTCAAATGAAGCCTTACTCTTAATACTACTAATGTGAGTTTATTCTTTGCGTCTTACAAGCATAAAAATCGTTTCAGCATGTGGGACTTCAATCATCTTTGTTTTAGCTTATTGACTTGAAGCAAACCAAGTGTGGATCAATGATTATATAGGAATAATGGAAGAATATTCTGACTTAGCGTTAGGTTTACCCCCCCACATGGGGACGGAGCACTACTGTTTATGTATAGCATTGTGATTTTGTGATATTGGGAGAAGAGGGTAAAATGTCTCACCTGACATCTTCCTGTAGATTTGAACTTTAAAAACGCTCTACTGCATCTATATGGGAAAACTATACACACATAGGGGTGTCAATTTTTGACACGACACGAAACACGACCCGAAAAAATCCGGGTTCGGGTCAACCTAAACCCGAAACGGGTCGGGTTCGGGTTGAAGAAATCAACCCGTTTTAAAAATCGGGTCGGGTTCGGGTTGACACGGAAACACGAAATTGACCCGAAAGTGACACGAAAACTCATATTTGACCCGAAAATCCGAGTTTGACCCGTTTTTTACCCAATTTTGACCCGAAAAACGAAGATTGACCCGATTTTGACCCGAAAACTAGCAATTTTGGGTCAATTCCGTGTCATTCGTGATTCTGACTTAGTGTTAGGTTTATCCCCACATGGGGACGAAGCACTACTGTTTATGTATAGCATTGTGATTTTGTGATATTGGGAGATGAGGTAAAATGTCTCACCTGACATCTTCCTGTAGATTTTGAGTATATAATAATAATAATAATAATAATAATAATAATAATAAGAATAACAGGTGATCAACATTATGATTGATACATTATAAAAAATTATGTTAGCACGAATCTTGAGGTATATTCAAGTTAATGACTTTCAAAATTAAATTTGAGATCACCTAAACTTCACTTTTAATAAACTTATGGTCAAACAGAATGTCTAGAAGACATAAAGCCAATAAAATCAAAATCGATCAAATATGAGCCAAAATAGGACCAAATCAGGTGATCAGAGCATATTTGGAAGCTTCAAAACATAAATTGGATGATCAATGGATATCAAAATATAGCATACTTAAATTCGAATCGAGTTGCTAGACTAGACAATTCCAACGAGCCTAAGAACGCTTGATTTTGACATCATTATGACACTCAAATGCTTGATGAACACTCTATGAACGAAGGAATCAATATGAGCCGTCTGATTAAATGCTCCGATTTTTTAGTCGGACTTCCACATGATCGCCGACTCTTGCTGGACTTTCGTTCGTCCATTGTCGAACCATTGCCTGGCCATTGACCACTGTTAGACTTCCACCCAACCGCCGACCTCCATTGTAACTCAGTAGTACTTCCACCCGACCATCATCGGACCACCGCCAGGCCGTTGATCACCTCCGGACTTCCACCAAACCATCATCAGACCATCACCCTATCACCAACTGCCATTAGATCTCCGCTTGTTAGTCGGAATTCCACCTGAATGTCGTCGGACTTCCGTCCAACTCTCCAAACTATTGTAATTTCATCGCCTCTAAGTCAAGGGACTAATCAACCTTTGTAATTCACTTGAATTCAGCAGAATATTTTCACATGAGAGAAGCCTAGTTGTTTTTCTCTCTTCAGATTTTCCACGTAAAAAAATTGGCATTTTACTGCTCTTTCTCTTAAATTACATGTTTGTGTGCTAGATATCTGTGCATCACAATGATGAAAAATTTACTCATTCATTCTACCATTGGAATATTTTAACCCGCAACAATAACAGATATCTCAAGCTTGGAGTTCATTTTGGACCAAAAACTTAAACCTTTATACGATTATTAGCCGACTATTTGATATTACTATACTAATGTATTTTCAACTATGAATATCACATGCATTAAAAATCTCTTACATAATGAGTGCACTCTCTATTAACTATTACCCACTCTCATGCGAAAGCGCATCAAATATTATGAACAAAAAGCTCACTCGATAATATGGAGATGTTGTAACACCAATAATTGAATATTGCTCAACGATAATAGAATCCACCAAAGTTCCATATGCTTCACAAATTACATGATTTGTTTGATCAAACCTAATCATCAAATCTAATATCACTAGCCAAATTGGTATCTTGAAGGCTTGAACCAAACTGCCCAAATCAACCAAAACTGGGTAACTTGAACCAAACTTTTCAAATTATATGCTCCTCCTCAATTTAGAGTGTGATTAAGAGTATGCGTGTTAATATTTGACACAACCCAAAAATCTGACTAGAATCTGACCCAAAAATTCTTGGTTAGCGTCAACCCGTTTGTGAAGCTGGTCATGTTAAACAAATTGACCCGTCTCAAAAATTGGGTCGGGTTCGGGTTGACCCAAAAACACGGAATAAATATGTGCCCGTGCCTCCCCGTTGTTGCATCACCCGCTAACGCATATGCTCGCGTCGCCCGCTATCACTTTTGCCCGCGTTGCCCAATTACGTGTCTGCCCGCTAACGCCTGCCCGAGTCTATTGCGCGTCGCTTGTTAACGCTTGCCCGCTGACATGTTAATTGAAAGATTTATGGGATCCGACTTAATAAGTGTGCAAACAGCAGACTGATTTATGGGATTTTGTTGAATAAGATAGTGAACAGTAGACTTATGGGTCAGGTCGGGTCGGGTTGATCTGAACCAGAAGAGGCCAGGTCAGATTCGGATCTTAAAAACTGACATGTTTGCAAAACCGGGTCATATTTGGGTCGTGTTAGTTCCGTGTTCGATCCGAACCTGACCCATCACCCGATTTTGGATTAAGAAATCCCGCCATGGAGCAAAGCATGCATAGGATAAGGTTGGTTCAAGGGGCCATCTAACAATTGGAAGTGATAGTCCATGGCAGTTTAGTAAAAACTTCAATTCACAATGTCTCTAACAAATAAGCAAAGAATACTACATCCTAACTTTGATGCCACATGTCCAATGAAGTTTACATAAGAATAATTCTACATTTGGTTCGTTTGAAATAATTTCTAGAATGTATAGAATTTGGTTTCATCCTTGCCAAAAATGTCATCATAAGCTTAGATCATGGAATGAAATCATTCTTTTAATGCTACTAATAGCTCTTAAATCAGAGACTTGAGAGAGTCATAATAATTTTGATAAATTTCTACCTCAAATTTTGCACTACCAAAACTTGTTAACTAAAAAATTATCAATTTTTAGGCAAAATTCTTGTCTTATTGAGGGTAATCCAATCATGTAAATGACTTCTATTTTGATTATTTGTAAAAGTTTTTATGTGCAAGTCAAGACACCCTAAATCCTAAACTCTAAACTCATAACATGGCAAGTCTCTCAAGTTTTATTTCATATGTTTTAATAGGCATTTCTCACCATTTTATCTATTATGTGTGAAGTCAATAAATGGTGAGATAAAAAGGAAGATGAGGAGAAGAAAGATGTTAGTTACGAGTATTTGTCAAGTATGTCTAATTATCAAGAAGGTAGTTAGTGGGTGGCATAGCTTTATCTAAGGCTTGCCTAATTTTTGTGAGTCTTAATATATTTTTAGTTTCTTTCGTAATTTGGCTCTGTCAGTAGGGTGCCAACTCTAAGAATGTGGTGACTATTTTATTAATGAATTTAATAATATGATTAAATTTTTATTTATTTATTTATATTTTTTATATTTATAGTATGTCATTTATATATGAATCAAATGCAATCAATGATTAGGCACCAAGTTAATAGTGATGACTCCTAGTATCAAGACCCTTATGAATAATGGGTCAACTCGATATCTTGCCACATTCCCAAGCGGTTAGATTTAAATAAATGAGTATTCTTACCCCTAATAATTTAAATTATTCGGGACTTGAGTGATGTTCTAATAGTTTTTGGATTTTTATTTTATTAGAAATATAAATATTTATGGGTTATTATCCTAAAATTTTATTTACAGACCCGTTAGAATCTTGGATAGCAAGTTGTATTTTTCAAAGCTAATGAATACTCAAAGCCATTAATTAGTATCCACAAAGTTTATGAGTCAACATAAATATAAAATATTTGGGTTAGCTAACTTAAAATCAACTATGAGTCACATAAACTTACAGAATTGAATCAGTAAGTTGGCTTAGCTAACTGCCACAATATTATTATCTATATCTCCTTTCTTTGCTCACATTATTTGCCATAAACTTGCTTTAATTAACCATGTTCTTGATGCATGTTCCTATAAGAAGTAGCTCCTACGTCACATTCATGTGCCTTCACATGCAACCTTCTCTATCGCAATATTGATTGCGAGGGAAGCCAATTTACTACTAAGAAAATTAATGTATATTTGGATTTTTCTTAATGAGTAAGATTTTGTTTGGATAGCTTTTTTATTGTTTTGTCTTCCATATTGCAATCACAGTTTTCGTTCGGCCACTGTTGTTTTATTGCTTTTAATAAATTTGTGCTATGAAGCTATTTTCTACAGTAGTTTTAAAAAAATGCTTTCTCAAGAGCACCTTTACAACTGATTTTGTAAACAAGTTGAAGTTGCTCGAAACACACCCTAAAGATTTGTTAGAGGTAAGTGTAACTTTTTTAAAGGTGATTGAAAGATATTGTGAGAAAGTAATTTCTTTGCACAAAAATATTTTGAAAATAGTAGCCAAAGAGAATTGCCGTTGCAGTATAAAATATAAAGTAGTAAGAAAGTTGTCCCAAATAAACCCTAATAAAAATATTATAATTATATGAGTTTAAATTTATGCCAAAAACGAA